TGTGGGACTGCTTCCCTGCCCGTGCCACCACGCTGGTGGGACCCCCAGGGCTTTTCTGTTCATTTGTTTGCTCTGATTTGTTCTGTTATGATTTGTTTGCTTGTTTTCTTTTTCTTTTCTTGGCTTGGGAGCCCCTTCTAGCCGAGCAGTACCATGCGACTTGGAAGCTACTCCTTTACTCTGCGCAGACACAAAGGGACATCCTGGGGGGCATTTCTTTTTTCTTGTTCTTTTTTGTTTCTTTGTTTCTTCTCTCTTTTATTCCCTTTTTGTCTTTCTTCATTTCTAGTTTCTCAATTTATTCTTTTTTTCTTTTACCCTTTTTCTTTTTTTTCCTCATTTTTGTTTTTCTCCATTTCTCAGTCTCTCATCTCTCCACTTCAATAGCAAGCTCCCCTAGCACTCTTTTTTGTTTGTGTGTATGTTTTTGGTTCCTGTTCCTCTCTCCTCCTTCTCGTACTCATCTTAGCTCCACACATCACAATCTACCCCCTCCTTCCTGCCAACCCGCACCATGCACTGAACATCACATTCCCAAGCAGCACAGGCATGGCCTACTGGAACCTGCCCTGTACTGATTCCTGGTCTGCACTGTCAGCCCTGGTACGTGCCACAAACAACCCATCCCAGCAACTACCCTTCAGCTGGACCTGCCCTGCTGTACCATACCTGAGTGACCGACCCTGCCCACTGGAGGAAGAGGTGAAAAGTATAGGGCCCACAGACGAGTAAACAACAAAGAACACACAGCCTGCCTGCTCAGACATGACCAAATAAAACAAAAAAGCAGGACAAAAGAAACAAATCTACAATCAATAAACGAGGAAAATAACCACTGAATGCCCCGAAGACAGCAGACAATATCAAAACATTTACAAAAACAGAACAGGATGGTTCCCGTAGGCATCCAAAATAAAACACCAGATGATCTTCCAGTAGAAGAAAAGGCATTAGACCTAACTGATAGGGAATTCAAATCTCTAATATTCAGAATTACGCAAGAATTGAAGCAAAAAGCAGACAAAAATGAGGAAAAAATACACAAATTCATGGAAAAGGCAGACAAATTCATGGAAAATACAGACTAAAAAATGGGAAGAAGTCAAGAAAATAATACAGGAAAAAAATGCTAAAATAAATTCACAACTAGAACTCATACAAAAACAACAATTAGAAATCCAAAAGATACACAAGATTTCAGAAATGGACAGTATCATAGAAGGGCTGAGGAGTAGGTTTGAAACGTCAGAAAACAGGATCAGCGAAATTGAAGACAAACACTTGGCTACAACTCTTTTTGAGGAAAAATCAGAAAAAAGAACGAAGAAAAATGAAGAAACCCTAAGAATTACGTGGGATACAATCAAAAGCAAAAATCTGCGAGTGATCGGAGTTCCAGAACAGGGGGAGAACACACAGAGAGGATCATTGAAGAAATGCTGACAGAAAACACCCCTAATATCATGAAAGATGAAAAGGTGACCATCCAAGAAGCTCAACGAACTCCATATAGGATAGACCGCAAAAGAAAATCACCAAGGCATATTATAATCATACTTGCTAAAACCAAAGACAAACAAAGAATCTTGAGAGGAGCTCAAGAAAAACAAAAAGTCACATACAGAGGAGAAACAAGATTATTCAGCAGAAACCATACAGGCAAGAAGGCGGTGGGATGACAGACATAAAACCTTGAAAGAAAAAAATTGCCAGCCAAGAGTAATATATCCTACAAAACTCTCGTTCAAGTATGATGGTGAAATTAGGTCATTTCCAGATAAACAGAAATTAAGGGACTATATAAAAACCAAACCAAACTTACCAGACTTATTAAAGGGAGTCCTTCAATCTGAGAACAAACAACATCAGACCATTGGCTGAATATAGGACACAGAATTGTACTAGCCAGATACCAACCTAGGAAATGAACTCTTAAGGACTATGCAAAACCAAAAGAATTACAACAGGGAACCAGAGAGGTTAATCTGTAAATGACAACAGCATCAGAACAATAAAATACAGACTAAACGGTATAGATATAGAACCTTCTAATGGAGAGGAAGGCAAGGCAATACCAAGTAATAATAGATGGGTTCAAATCTAGGAGGATAAGGATAAATTTCAAGGTATCCACAAAGAAAGTCAACAAACCTACTCATCAAAATAAAGAAGAAAAGCAAAGTGTCAGTAAAAACAAAACCTACAAAAACAAAAGAAATGAAAAAAAAAATCCACAAACAAAAGGAACTCAGCAAAGGAGAGTAAGAGGAACAAAGAAA